TTTTGTTTTTAGTGGTGCATAAATACCATTGCAAACGAAACGAAACTTTAACAAACGAGACCAAATCTTCAAACCTTTACTTCCAAATCACTAAATGTAATATCCAATTGTAATAAAATCACAAAATCTAATAACCAATTGGAGCAGACTTAATTTCTTTTTATTGTCAAGTATTATATTGTTACATATTATTACGTAACGTCCAATTTTCTACGACAGATATAAACATCTGTCATTTTTTTATAAATTGACTTTATTCATCAAGCTAATCCCCAACAGATTCAATGCATTTTTGCCAAAAAAATACAATCTAACGTAGATAAAGATACTGCGAGAAAACGCTTAGTAAGGAGCTGACACATCATTTTAATAAATAAAATGCGATATAAATTATATGTAAATCAACCATATACGTATATAATAAATATTAGGTGTAGAAATTAATTCCGTACCTTTACGTTCACGAATTTGTAATTCTAGTTTAAGTAGAAATTTAAAGCGAATAATGTTTTATTTTTAGGTTAAAAAAGAACATCAAGCATTTTTTGTAATTTAAGATATCTCTGTAGACATTGCAAAGGCGACTGCAGTAATCGGTGTCTATTATCTCATACTTCAATATTGACATTGATCCCAACATAGGATATCGCGAATTTCATCTTATCAGTCAAATTTCGTTAATTTTGTTGTCATAAAATGTAATTTTGTGTAATCTGTGGAACGTATTGTAGAATACAAAGCGTCTCGTTGATTTCAGATACCTTTAAAATGATTAATCGAGGTTGACAAAAGTAATGCTTCACCAACAGTAATCTTCTTTAATCACTTTTAGGCCTGAATTGTTTTCTCGTGGTAAACAAAACATTTGTCACGTGCCTCGAGTTATTTGGAGTCCAACTGAATTTTAACAATCAAAGTTATATTCATTGGTAATACATAATGATATTTATATATGACTTTTCACGTAGAATTGTTACTAAATTACAAATTAAGTTTATGTTAAGAAATACGCAATCAGAAAGTCTGAAACAATGAGCTTTTAAATGATTTTTTAAACATCGTTTCATAGTTTCCTATACAAACATGATGCTGTTTTTATAGAAAGTAGTATATATTTATAGAATTTTATATAAAATTTCCTTAAAAGGAAATAAAGTTATCAAATTATGAAAGATAATGATTTTAAGACGTCGAATACAAATTATTTCAGATTTCGCTCTCATCGCTTCGAGATTTCAACGTTTTCCTTTTGCTACATATTCTTGGCGATATTAAAATATTGAAAAATAGAGAAATTAATTCTTTCAAAACTTGATATATTTGTTTAATTCTTTGCCTTTTTATATTTCAGAATTGTGTAGTTACAGGGAAATTTCACAAATGTTTGAATAGCTTTCGTAACGTTTAAGAAATTAATATTAAATAAATTAATTCATATTTATATTTTCTTTTTAATATTGGCCCCTGTATTAATAAAATTAACAAAGGACTCTCTCTTTAGTACATAAATAAATAAGTAAATAAAATAATAGGTACAACAAAATAAATGAATGACTATAAATCATCCAATATCTTTTTAGGGTATTTCTCATCTATTTTTATTACGCAATGCTACGATTGTTATAACGGTTAATGATGAAGAAAAGTTAGATTATTTTATCACACTTATATTTTCACACATTTTTTAAGAACTTTTAACATTAATAAAATATATTCTAATATTTACAACTTTTTCTTGCATTTGTTACAATCATTTAAGAATTATGTAAACACATATATCTACATTTGTGTTTCTACACCTTTTCCATGCATTTCTTAAAAACTTATGAAATATATAAATTTTCAAATTTATACAACGATCTTATACAATTGTCATTTTATGAGATTTAAAAAAAATGAATGGAGCGGAATGAAATAAATAGAATTAAAAACGAATGTCAAAATTTGGCAAATAATGCATCGTATAAAATGATAAGAAATTGCTCGTGGAATTGCTATACATATATTACGCATAAGTTGCCCGAGTGTCTCACAATCAGTTCTAGCACGATCTCGAGTAATGCCTTGGTCGTTGCTTGCACAATGGACCATACGAGTGATTCCATACTTAGATAACATGCAACTGGCACTGGCATTTACAGTTAAGCGAATTATTGTCAGTGATTTCAAACGAGTCCGAGCGAGATGAAATGCTTGAGTTGTTATCACTTTTTGTGTTTTTTTATTGAGTCGTGCTAGAAAATCCAAAGCTTACTGTTAAATAATTTTTTGGTAAGGAGCTTTACGAAGTAAACTTATAAAATTGTAACTATTCAATAACTTAGTAAGGAGTTTTACAAATTAAACTTATAAAATTGTAACTATTAAATAATTTTGTAGTAAGGAGCTTTACGAAGTAAACTTACAAAACTATAACTATTAAATAATTTTGTAGTAAGGAGCTTTACGAAATAAACTTTTAAAATTGTAACTATTAAATAATTCTTTAGTAAAGAGCTGTACGAAGTAAACTTACAAAACTATAACTATTAAATAATTCTTTAGTAACGAGCATTACAAAGTAAACTTATAAACTTATGACCTCGAGGAAAACTTAAAAAACTCAGTCCAAATTTGGAATTGTTTGATCAATCCCGTGATCAACAGCAACAGTAGGAATTTCTCTAGAGTGTTTACAAAAACATTTTTCTGTATATAACAAAAATTCATTACTCCAAGAAAATGAAACGTGATTTAGCATATTTTAGAAGCGTTTCTTTAATTACTAGTTGATACCAAGCTTATCTTTATTTTCTGTTGTTTCATTATTACATACTGTAGGATCGTACCCAAAATATCTTCAAAATTAAACAAAAATTACGTAAATGTTTCTCTGCAACAAAGTCACAAAGAACACTTAATATTTGGCATCCTAATGCGGTTATCCATATTAAAAAGAAGGACGTACATATTCGGTTCCCCGTTTACAATTCACAAATAACTCTGTACACAATTGCGATCATCGAGCCTAACCTTCGATATCGGGTGCCTGCATAAGCGAAAGTGATAATTGTAATACCATTACATCCCACAGAATACTTTCTCCATCGGTGTTTAAAACCAGCAAAGTGTATGTTAGACGGTACAGTTACGCTCCTGCCGTTAAACCGTTGTTATCGGGTACACGGATCTTATCACGAGGCATCGCTACGTGTCAACTTTTATTGAAACGCTTGCATTTCGTCTGTTTGTGCGCGCAGTAGTTTGATTAACTAAATTAATCTTTTATCTTCGTACGTTGGTATAAATATCAATGTTTCGTTTGGTGTCTTGATATTTTCAAAACAGTGCTCGCGAACAAAAATCTACCGACGTAATTTTCAAGATAAGTTTAATAAACAAGCTCGATAAGTTTAATAATAATAGATTGCACGTGATTGGATCTAATAATAACTATGCAGACAATAACGAAACGCGTCGTGTTTTTCATAATCGTCGTAATATTACTCTCGGGGGGTTTGTACGTCGTATTGATGCAAGGATTCCAACTCGAGCTGAATGCGCATCGGCCAAACATAATCGTTATTATAGCGGATGATCTGGTAATGTTTCTGTTAATTTTAATAGTTTCACAGAAAAGTTTGCGGGATGCACAAGTTCGGCCAAATCCAAGATTGGTTTGAATGATCAAAAAACAATACTCGTTGGATTTGTATATGTTGATTTTGTAATATTCAATTTTTAAATCGATTTTTTAAATCTTGCATGATTTTAGTTTGGTGTAAGACAGGTCGGTTTCTCTCATTAGTAATAATTAATAGTTTCACAGAAAAGTTTGCGGGATGCACAAGTTCGGCCAAATCCAAGATTGGTTTGAATGATGAAAAAACAATACTCGTTGGATTTGTATATGTTGATTTTGTAATATTCAATTTTTAAATCGATTTTTTTAATCTTGCATGATTTTAGTTTGGTGCAAGACAGGTCGGTTTCTCTCATTAGAAATAATTAATATCTTTGTATGAAATGACTAAATGTTACAAATTATTTAAAAATTGTAATTTATATATACGTCTACTGTAGGGGATTAGTGAATCCTGTTCAGAGTTTAAATAATTGACAGAGTTTACGCATATTTCGTTTGATACGTATAGTTTATTATGAAAAATTAAATTACACAACGTGATACATTAAACAAAAAACACAACGCATCGCCAAAAAGGAGCAATGCTACCAACGTATTGTAGCGTAGGAAGATCCTATTGCCAACAATAATTACATTTAAATTAGATAAGTAATAATTTATTCGAAAAAAATTATATTATCTATACATATGTATATAACCATAATTATAATAATATTATATAATACAATTTATAAATAATATACATAATGTAAGCTTCTACGAGTAAATTTTCACTTATATAATTTAATATATGTAAAAAGTGTTAATTAATATCTGGGCACTTTTTTGAGGATCAAATTTTCACACTAGTATGAATCGAAAAGTTCTTAATCATTTTGCTATTTGAGGCTTCGTTATCGAGATATAAACAGTTGAAATTTATAGATGTGACTTCCGGTGCGCGCTATTTGAATCTCACAATCAGTCAGCTGTTCGCGTGGCCGCGCGCTTGCGCAGTCATCCAGAAGAAACACGTATCGATGCCATTCGCTTGTTCGTTTCACATTCTCCTAATAAAAATAAATAAATTTAATTATATAAATAATTATATAATTATAATATATAATTATTATATAATTATAATATATAATTATAATATATAATTATTATATATATATTATTATATAGTATTATTTTATTATATATTAGGTGGACTGGAAAGTAATGTCGTTTTTGCCATCTTAAATACTTGTTTATCATTTATCAGCTCATTGATTTTTCTGATATTGAAAATTTGCACACTACGTGACAAAAGGCTGCTGATAATGAGGGCGATTATATAATGAATTCAAGATAGAAATTTATCGAAAAGTTTGAATTTAATGTAAAAGAAACGACATTACTTTTCGCTCTACCTAATAATGTTACTATTTAATTTAATTCTATAAATGAATTTTATTCTATAAAAAACTGCTTGAAAAACACCTGAAAATCTTCAATAAAATTTATGTTCTAATTAGCAGGAAACTGTTAATCACCACAGGTAGACCCGAATTTCGTTAGCATGTCTATCTGTCTAGTATCGTCAGTATAATTTTTTATACCGTTAAAAGAGGAAAATGTCAGTTTTGAAAATAATACCGATGATACTAAACGAATATACCTGCTGGCAAAATTCGGGCCTACCTGTGCTAATTATCATTTTCCTGTTAATCAGATGTCGATGACCTGTTATTACCAGACTATAACATTTATTGGAGACTTCCATATAATTATAAAACAGTTCCTTGTAAGATAAAATTAATTTAGCAGAAAGTGAAGTGAGTGTACATCGGTCCGTTTCTTTTTTAACGAGTACGTAATGTGCGACCACGCGAACAGCTGATGTTGGATTCGAACAGCGCGCACCGGAAGTCACACCTGTAAACTTCGACTACTTATATCTCGATAACAAAGCCTCAGATCACAAAACGATACAGGACTTTTCGATTTATTTTGGTGTGATAATTTGATCCTCAAAAAAGCTCTCACATATTTGTTATCACTAGAATGCGAATCTTTATGCAAAATACAATCATCGCGAACGTGCCTACAAAAATTAAACCTAAATAGGAATTTATTTTATTCTGCAAATATTATAACATGAACTTTACTTTCAATCTTTTTTATATTATTGCATATTGTTTGCATTTTGTAAATTTTTGGACATTCAAATTTCCCATAAATGCATAAAGATCCGCAGTTTAGTTATCACCTTTTACACATCTGTGAAAATAATTGAAGCAAATTTAGTCATAGAATATTCCGTTTTGAATTCAAACATTAATTCAAACTCAAATGAGTTCGATTCAAAATGAGTTCGATTCAATTGAATTAGTGTTTTCTTTATTTTACTTACTTTGAAGTTCTGAGTAATCTTGCTCTAATCTTAGTATTAAATAAAGGATTTTAGTAAATACTTATAGAATAATTGTTATAGAAGATAATCTGGTAAAAAGAAATAGATAAGTGTAACGACTATTGTTATATTATCTGGGTTATGACAACACACTCGTGTTATCTCAGTGCACTTAATTAAGAAATTCTAATGATTATTTAACATGATGCTTCGAGGAATAAAAACACAAAAAAATAACCAAAAATAAAAGATTGTTCATATTTAATTGATTGTTCATAGAAATTCGAAAATGAGGGTTTCTATGCTTCTAATGTCGTTGACTATGAATGTGATATCTAGACTGCGGGAGTTTATGCAATTTAAAGCGAATTAACGAACACTAAACATTACCAATTTTTCGTTAAGGGTTGGAATGACGTAAGTTTTCACGGCAGCAATCAAGTACCTACGCCAAACTTAGACGCTCTCGCTTACCACGGAGTAATACTTCAACGGCATTACGTTTTGCCGATATGTACTCCATCAAGGACAGCTTTCCTTACCGGACGTTATCCTATTCGAACAGGTATTCCTTTAATACGATTTATACTTCCAACGCGTGATCTGATTGTGTCGGTACAGTCGAATGCCCGTCATAAGCCTGCCTCTAATAAACCTCTTCCCTTCAATCAGCAGTTGCTGACAATCAGTTTCTTTCCAGCAAATTCCTTCTTCTTGTTGCGCGGTCGAGTTCCCATTCTCTTCTGGATACGACCAACGCATTCCTTTTTTTCTACAGGGAACTTTTCACCGTATGGCCTTGCATTTTGTATCGTAGTATTTCCAAAAAAAAATATTTTAAAACAGGGAAAGGTTGCCTATCTGCCAGGCGCTCTCAAATGCTGGCTCCGTCCAACCTACTTGCTGCTCTTACAAATTTGCCCCGATTTGGAAAGCGTGATTCAAAAAATTTGATTCTTGGGGGGACCTGATAATGAAGCAATTGCGCGTTCCCTTATATTCTGTGTTGATTATCTTGAATTTCAATAATAATCAATTTTTTATTAATGATTTTTATTGTTAACAATTTTAGAATAACTGTTATTTTTTGTCACTGGAGACAACTGTTCCGCAACTGTTGAGCGATTTACTTGGATTCTCTGGTTTGTTTCGTCTACTCGATGTGACTAGACGAATGAAAGCACAGAATCCAAGAGTTGTCTATTTTTCTTTTGGAGGGGAGTAGAATTCATCAACAAGTGGCACTTCTTTAACCCTACAAACTTTGCGGTTAAAGTTTCTTAATTTTCAATTATTTTTAAAAATTTTCAATGTGTCACTTATTATTTGGATTTTAATTTGTGACTTATTTTTCAGGTCTAAAATGTTTCAATCATTTTTTTCAAATTTTCAGTTTGTTAGTTATTTTATTTAAAATTTTAAATCATTCAATTATGTCTAAAAATTCTTAATTCTTCGTTATTTTTTGAATTTTCAGTTTTACATTTGTTATTTGAATTTTCAGTTTGACATTTATTATTTGAATTTTCAGTTTCACATTTATTATTTGAATTTTCAGTTTGACATTTATTATTTGAATTTTTAGTTTGACCTTTATTATTTGAATTTTCAGTTTCACATTTATTATTTGAATTTTCAGTTTGACATTTATTATTTGAATTTTTAGTTTGACCTTTAGTATTTGAATTTTCAGTTTGTCATTTATTATTTGAATTTTTAGTGTGACCTTTAGTATTTGAATTTTCAGTTTGACATTTATTATTTGAATTTTTAGTTTGACCTTTAGTATTTGAATTTTCAGTTTCACATTTATTATTTGAATTTTTAGGTTCACATTTGTTATTTGAATTTTTAGTTTCACATTTGTTATCTGAATTTTCAGTTTTACATTTGTTATTTGAATTTTCAGTTTTACATTTGTTATTTGAATTTTCGATTCTACACTTGAAATTTTAATTTTTCAATTGTATTCATAGAAATTTTCAAATTTTTCCTAACGTTCTGGAATCTTGTTAACAAATTTTGGAGGTCGTTGGCCTGATGCTACTCGACTTTCGAGGTATTTATGGCAAGGTCAAAGGATGAGTGGGACCGTGACGAATATTATGCGCGCCATCGCGGACGGTCGACCGCCAATGGCTATACCACGATTTCCAGTAATAATCGTGCTGTTGCTACAAAGAAATAGTGCCAATATTTCCTCGTACTATTTATGTTCATATAGTGCGAGTGAGTCATCCACTTGGGCGGCCACTTGTAGGCGAGGATGATCCTTGTTGATCATCTTACCTCGAAATCAAAATTGCCGAGAAAATAATCAAATCTTCCCAACAGCTTCACCTACAAACAAATTATTTACACCACATAATTTGGATGTTTGTGCTAAATATCTTTTGTAAAAACATTTCTTTGATATCTTCATCCCCCTTATGCGATAATTAATTATTCCTCTTTAACCCTAGAATGGAAAGAATGAGTAAATTTTACTCCTTGCATTACTTCTTGTTACTTCTTTACACTTTATTCAAGACTTGTATTTAAAATTTATTGTTACTTTTAACCATGTTGGTACCTTATTCCTTGATACTTCACCTAATAATAAATTATTTACTCCACAGAATTTGGATATTTGTGCTAAATATCTCTTGTAAAAACATTTCTTTGATAGCTTCATCCCCTTTATGAGATAATTAATTATTCCTCTTTAACCCTAGAATGGAAAGAATGAGTAAATTTTACTCCTTGCATTACCTCTTGTTACTTCTTTACACTTTATTCAAGACTTGTATTTAAAATTTATTGTTACTTTTAACCATGTTGGTACCTTATTCCTTGATACTTTACGTACTAATGAAAAAAGAAGGTAAAATTTGGGTATTTTGAAAAGGAGTAAAAATTACTCAATCTTTCCATTAAAAGATTAAACAGTGACCTTTCCATTCTAGGGTTAAACAAAACACACAAATATTAAATTTAACTACAATTTGGTCAAAATTTTAAGGATTAACAGATTTAATTCTGTACCGACAGTTATGTTCTAGTTATGGCTAGTATCAGCCCTATTTCTACACTCTCAAATGTTGAATCCTATATCGTTTATGGATCGCCTAAGTTTAAAATATATAAGAATGTATATCGAATGATGGAGGGTCCGAGTAACAGAGGGTCGGTTAGCCCTTTGCACTCGAGGCCTTTTTTTTGTGGTACCTACCAGCAACTCGAGATGTTTCTTAGCATTCTATTGCCATGAATTCTAAGCTATCTAAATTTGAGAATAAGGTCACTTTTACCTCGCCGACAATCATTTTATCGACACTTCGGGCTCCAAAGAAATTAAACCTAAAGAAGGTGTTTTTGATTTTTTCAATCCTTTCCGTCACGCCTGGACCCTTCAAAGGTGCCATTTCCCTGCACCATCCTCTTTATGGGGGTGAATTAACCCCTTCGCATCAAGCCTCGCCAATGGAACTTTACACACACCCAGAGGACACTACAAAACTACTCCTGACGAAGTTTCACGAAAATCGGTTGGAAACTCCCATATTTATGACGTTTTGAAAAAGTGTCCCCAGTTTTCTGATGGCGAGTGCAAATTTGCTGCGTGAAACCTAATGGTGACTGAGAGTCATCTTTCGAGTGCAAAGGGTTAATAGAGAATTTGATTTAGATAATAGAGGTTCTACTGCACCATAGTTTTTGATGGACAAATTGTAAATAATCTTGGAGATATAAAAAAAAATATTTTCAATGTTTCTTTATATGATAGATACCTAGTTTGAAACTCATCTTTTGATTTTAGGTATGCAAGGCTATCCGCTGAGAGCAGGCGAGCCTCGCGCAATACCTTTAAACAATACTCTTCTCCCGGAATATCTACGAAAATTGGGATACACTAGTCATCTCGTAGGAAAGTGGCACGTTGGTTATTACAGTGACTATCACACGCCAGCGTATCGTGGCTTCGATACCTTTTTCGGCTACTATAATGGTTATATTACATTTTTTAATCACACCATTGTTCAAAATGTGAGTTATCCTTTTTACTTTGATACGCTTTCGTTATTATAATACGAGCCGTTCGTTGCACAATTCGATTAACTATATAAAACAAAGTGTTCAGAAATGGGACGGAAGTGGCTCCTAAAGTAAATTATTTATTATTCAAAAGCCAAAAAAATTTAGTCGTTTAATAAAGTTAATCTTTATTACTCGGGAAAGTTATTATTAGACTGCGGATCTTTATGCAAAATAAGATCTTCGCAAACGTGCCTACAAAAATTGAACCTAAATAGGAATTTATTTTATTCTGCAAATATTATAACGTGAACTTTACTTTCAATCTTTTTTATATTTTTGCATATTGTTTGGATTTTGTAGTTTCTTGTACATTCAAATTTCCTATAAATGCATAAAGATCCGCAGTCTAGTTATTATAAATATAAAAGGTTATGACTCTACCAAGTGCTTTGATACTTAAATAAGATTTTTCAAAAAGTGGAGTTAATCGATTTTTGCAATTTACGGCTCATGTATTAGTATGTATACTTAATATATATAAATACATTCCGTAACAGTTATTATATTAATTATTATTTAACTAATTTTCTTACATGGACACGAATTGAATGCCAAATTGCAGTGCATTCGAAACACATTGATTTAGCTAATGTTGAGTACTTTTATTAACGGATTTACTGAACTGTATTCATTTTTACTACTTCATTTCTTATAATTATATTGAATATGAATAGATGGGTGATTGTTTTATTTGTTATTAGAAAAAATATTAATGTTTCTATTCGTGAAACACATAAACAAGAACATAAATTTGAAGAAAGTTAATATTCCTTTACAGAATTACACCGGTCACGATTTGCATTACGACGTGCCTGGGAGACTGTCCGCGGAATACGATTATCAATACATAACCGATCTTATCACCGATAAGGCTGAAAACATAATCGCGAACCATGATCGTAGACGACCACTGTATCTCCAATTGGCACACGCCGCTGCCCATTCCACTGACTCCGAAGATATAATGGAAGTTCGCGATGAGAAGAAAATGAATGCTACCTTAGGCTACATAGAAGACTTTGGTAGAAGGAAGCTTGCAGGTATACAATGTAAAAGATCGTACAATACAGAGTGGTCCACGCAAGTCATAACTCCGTTATTATTGCATTTACGAAATAATGCCAAAGGAGAAAGATAAATGGTTCGAAGAGCACTACATCTGTAGGCCTTAAAATTTTGTTTAGATGCAGCAGTGCATGTGCAATTAACAATTGCATCATTTCTTTAAATAGAAATGCATATTATTTTTTATACAGGTCGATTCTTCTGTTCATTCTACGTAAACAATGATTAGCGTACCATGGCAAAAAAATGATTGGATCTCGAGATATTTTCAAAAAATGTTTTTTTTTTGAAGAAGATGCTCAAACGCTTAATGACTAGTAAGGTAAACACACTTGTAAAGGTAAACACCCTTTCGACATTGGTAACATAACAGAAATAAACAGTAGAACTTTCTCCTTTGGCATTTTTTCGTAGAATGCAATAATAACGAAGGTATGACTTGAAACAATTGCGTGGACCACCCTGTATACAGGGTGTCCCATGCAAATGGAACAAGCTGTACCTCCTAAACGGTTGGGAATAGAAAGAAATGTTTTAAGTGAAAGTTAAATGATTTCGGGTGTTGCATAACATGCAATTAACTTTATGCAGTTTTGTGCATCAGTGCATCAGAAAAATGCAACTGCACTTTTTTTTAAAAGGGAAACCTATATTTTTGACGACATAGATCGATGGAATTTCTTGTGCTCTACAAAAAAGTACTGACATACTTATGCCCTAAACTTGTTCGTTAAGAAGTTATTGATGGTAAAAGTTATCGAATTCGGTTAAAAAAATTATTCGGATAACTATTACCATCAATAACTTCTTAACGAACAAGTTTAGGGCATAAGTATGTCAGTACTTTTTTGTAGAGCACAAGAAATTCCATCGATCTGTGTCGTCAAAAATATAGGTTTCCCTTTTAAAAAAAAAGTGCAGTTGCATTTTTCTGATGCACTGATGCACAAAAGTGCATAAAGTTAATTGCATGTTATGCAACACCCGAAATCATTTAACTTTCACTTAAAACATTTCTTTCTATTCCCAACCGTTTAGGAGGTACAGCTTGTTCCATTTGCATAGGACACCCTGTATAATGTTGATGATAATAATAATAATAATAATAATAATTGTATATAATAATAATAATAATTGTATATAATAGTATAACACTCTAAATATTTTCGTTGCTTTAAACGACACGAAAAAATTGTTTTAATAAAAACCTTTCAGTTTCGAGAAGGTAATATTACTCACTATGCGAAAATTATCTCAAGGTCATATTTTCTGTAATTTCAAGGTCATCAATTTATTCTTGCAATATTATAGCTGATAAAAAGACGAACTCACACATTTATAATATATCGACCTTCGAATGACCTTGTGAGAAGTTATTTTTACAAAATCAATTAGATTTGTAGACGAAGACAATGGACGCCGCAAAGTGAACAGGTTTATAATATTCTATTTTCAGGTGTGGTTACCGCTTTGGACGAATCTGTCGGTAGAGTAGTGAAGGCGTTGAAAGAAGCGGAGATGTTGGAAAATTCGATTATTGTCTTCATGTCTGACAATGGTGCACCAACTGTGGGTTCTTCGCAGAACTACGGATCGAATTATCCTCTTCGAGGGGTAATGAATTATCTTTATTAGTATGCAACAATATATCTGTGTAATATCATGACAAATGTTTTAAATATGAACTTATTCATTATTTTCTATACATTTTTATTGGAGGAAAAATTTTGATATACGTACATTTTTTAATTATCCGAGATAAAAGTTTTGTTTATGGAACTTTTGTAAAAAAATAATAATAAATAAGTTCATATTTGAAACATTCAAAATAATATTACAAAAATATTTTAAGTAGAGAAAATAGGTTTATATTTACTGAACTGATGTATAAGGAAATAATTAAGATAAAAAAATCGAAATTTTTAGGGCTTGTTTCTATTATTACTATAAGTACATAGTAGCACTGTCAAATTTCAAATTATTTCATCAATTTTTACCGGAGTTATAAAAAGAAAGTAATTAATTGAAAAAATTCCATGTATTTTTCATTTATAAATTTTGAAAATTTGGGCCACGTGTTAATGTTAAAATTAACCACTCAAATCTTGCAGGAGTTTTTTTTATATATTGCAAGGTATTTATGGGGCGCGTAACATTGATTTCAAAAAACGTTGAAACAAGGACCAAGCTACAATCGCGATATCGTAATTTTCAGATAAAGTTAACACTTTTCGATGGTGGTATCCGTGGCGTGGCGTGCATCTATTCGCCATTGATAAAAAGCGTCTCCAGAATTTCTGATAGTTTGATGCACATTACCGATTGGTTACCGACATTTTACTCGGCTGCGGGTGGCAATCTAGAGGATCTAGGAGAAACTCTCGATGGTGTTGATCAATGGGATACCATTGTTTCTGCGAAGGGAACTGGCCGCACTGGTGTATTGTTAAACATAGATGAAGTTGCAAACGTTTCGTCGGCTTTAATAGGAAGATATAAATTACTCAATGGTAATAAAAAAAATATTTCTATTTGAACATACTGTGCTGTATTATACATCATTACGGGGTTCTAAACTGTTCTGGAGTATTATGTTTTATTATGCTGCAGTATCCAATATTAAGCTGTGTTATGCTGTAGTACACTCTGTTGTACTGTATTATGTTGTATTATGTAGTGTTCTGGCATGCTGTATTATACTATATTAGGCTGTATTATGCTGCATTATCCTGTATATGCAGTATTACGGTGTATTATGTATTATTCTCTATTATGCTGCAATATCCAAAATTAGCCCGTATTAGTATTAGTCTGTATTACACTGTATTATGCCTCAGTATCCAGAATTAAGCTTTTGATTATCCTGTGTAAACCTATATTACGTTGTATTATGCTGCATTATCCAGTAATATTCATTATAACGCAGTATTATGCTGTATTTTTTTAAATGTCTTTTATTATAGGAGCTGTTTCTGAATACCCTAATTTCTATGGTGACAACGGTATAAACAAATTGTACCCACAGTACAATACATCCAGTGTTTTGCGATCATTAGCAGGCTCTGCAATTGCAAAAATATCGAAGTCTACGTTAAAAGATGAGGACGTAATTAAGCTTCGAGAAAAGGCAACAGTAACTTGTAAGAACTTCACGACGTATTCTACATGTTTACATACATGTTTGTTCGACGTTTATAACGATCCTTGCGAGACAACAGATTTGTCTCTCGAATATCCAAAGGTATGTGAAATATACTGGGTGAGTCTTCTAAACTTTGCACCTCTGAAATATCTCCGTTGTTTTTAATAATTCGAAGTTATGGTAGATCAAATGTGATCTCAAGGTCATATTTTCCGAGATTTCAAGGTTATTTGTGTGTTTTTTGTTAATGAGATTGGGTAATTTTATTATTGTCATACTGTTTCTGATAAAAAGAGAAATTCAAGTATGTGTAATATTTGTAATGTGTAAAATTGACCTTCCGGTGACCTTTTGAAAAGTTATTCTTTTAAAATCATTTTTACGTATACAGGTAATTAAATGTACAAAATAGAGTAAGTACTACAAAATGTGTACACATTAACGATTGTTACTCTCTATAATTTTCTGTAATCTATTTTTTGAAAGAATCTAGCATATTATTTAAAATTATAATTTTCTTGTTTAAATATTTTTGATATTTTTCTAAATACATTTTAACCCTTTGCACTCGAGACCTTTTTTTCTGATATCTGCCAGGAACTCGAGATGTTTCTTAGCATTCTATTGCCACGAATTCTAAGCTATCTAGATTTGAGAATAAGCTCACCTTTACCTCGCCGACAATCATTTTATTGACACTTCGTGCTCCAAAGAAATTCAACCTAAAGAAACATTAGGTATTGTAGATTTGCTCCGTAAGACCTAATGGTGACTGAGAGTCACCTCTCGAGTGCAAAGGATTAATATTCTTCTTAACATCTTTTTGTGTAAAAAATATCTTATTAAAAGGTGTTTTCATTTATAGATTGTGGACGAATTAAATCACTACATAAAAGAATACAGTAAAGTTTTAATGCCTCAAACAAATGCACCAGTGAATTCAGCCTCTTTACCCCAACACTTCAACGGAACATGGATGCCTTGGATAGTTAAATATCCTTTACATCTAATTTCTTAGTACCTCGTGACACAAAATCAATCTACAAATTATTCATACTTAAATGACTGCGATATCTGATGATAGAAATTTTATATTTTTTACTGATATTTTAATTGTCATCTCAACAACCTTTATCCGAAAAGAAATAATTTTATGTTACTATACACACAGACTAAAAAAATCTGTATAAAACTTATTTTTATATAATTATACTGCTATAGTATACATGCTATTGTGTATATAATATAGTACAGTATATTATACCACGTACAAATACAAAGAGAATAAAGAGGAAATGTAAAATACTTTCTGTCAAATAATCCTAATTTTTGAGATAATAAAATTCGATATGTGTTTTGTAACATATCTATTAAAAATTAAAACGCATAGTGAAGACACGTTTGATACGCATTTTTACATGCGTTACATTTTTACTATTACCTCTTGCTTAGATGTACCACACGTCTTGGGACACCCTGTATGAAATTATAAACCACGGTGGCGGTAAGAAGTGACAAAAAGTTCATCGCTAAGTCGGCTTTTTTCAGACACGTTATTGTTTACAGATTATGCAGATGAGATGCTGTCGTTCCTGAGTACGTTGATATCAATTTAATTGCACGTTATATACCCGCGTAAATGTACAACTTCCACAATTTCTAAAATTCAATTTCACCGACAGAATAGTGACACTGGCATTACAAATATATTATTATAATAAATATATGATAAACGTATCGAAAAGGTATGTAAAGGTATGCAAACTGAAATAACGATATTATTGTAAATAATATAATAATAATATAATAATATACATTATGTATATTTTACATTAGATACATTACGTACATTATACACATTATATACATTATATACATTATATGCATTACATACATTACATACATTATGTATATTTTATATATATTTTCTATATTATAAAATCTGCAGACTATGTATTATATATACGTTATATATATGTATGTATTATAATAATACATAGATAATACATAAAATAAATAAATAATAAATATAATTCATAGATATACATATGTGATATATATGTCTATGTATTATATTTATTATATGCATTATTTTTTATATGTATTATTATATGTATATATATACATTATATATATAATATATAATATATATATATATATATATTATATGTGCAATATATATATAAGAGATTTATAATATAATTAATTTTCCAACGCCATTGATACCATTCATTTCCTTTTTCAATTTAAATATACAGGGTGTCTCAGAATTAGTGTAAGAACTGGAAATGAGGGGTAGTTGATACGATATATATATATATATATATATATATATATATATATATATATATTTTACTTATATATATATTATCTTTATATATTTTTTCATTTTCACATAGCATAGAAAATATTTGCGTATTTGTCCAAGTGTCTTTATTAGTGAAACAACAACAGCTTACTACATTAATAATGCAAGCTTCAAAATCGGTATGTTTCCCTATGATTTCGATATCCCTATAATTTCTGATATTTTTGTGGAATACTGACAAAGTTTTGTTTAATTACTCTTTAAGTTGCAACGAAAGTTTTATAGGCTACTTCATCTAGGAAAATATTAATTGTTACTGTTATTAAGCAATAAATTTAAAGAAGACTTCTTAAAATGTAATAGAATTTGTTGAAAGAACGTAGTTTATAAGAAAACTGTACAAACCAATTGTCTGACATAAATAACATGAAATTCAAAGAATAAGTTATGTTAATATAGATATCTTTAAGGAGAACAATGTTGCGCAATTTGACTTAAAATGAACCGTAGGTCTAAAAAGTCTTTCTCCCGGTTTTTTTCATAATTTCATTCTTATCTCATCTTTATTCCGGTTTAGCAATTTGCTCGTTTATCAGGGAAGACTCCGGCATATAGATGCGTTAGCTTTGTATGTAATCACGCAGAGGGTTGACGTGGAAGAAACCCGTGGAATGAGGGGGTAACTCTGGCGATCATGCCGAGGGTTTGAAGGTTTAAGTCGGTTTTAATAGCCAAGCAGCTGTTGCCGGATCTGTTTGCCCCCTTTTTGTGGTAGACATCTTCGACGAATAATGGCAGGAAATAATCTGAAACGAACGAAGCGGCCATCCTTCGCAGTCCTCCGGCAATAAACTGTTTTTAACCCGTTCCCTTCTTCCCGCCCGCCCCCCCCCCCCCCCTTACATGCCGCTGAACCCTCTTAGTCGTCCTTTTAAGCGCACCGAGTGAAAGTGCGAATATAATTAGTATCAACGCTCTCGCAATGATTCACGCGCCACTGTGCGATCATACAGTGATAGAAATTACACAAGTCGCCCGCTTTGAAAAAATGTGTCAATTTCTAACTCCGTGCTCTTTAACAGACCTGTGGCAAACTTTCATTGAAATCAAAACGAGAGATAAGTATTTGAAACGTTATTTTTTTCGAGTCGTTGTTTTCAATACAGTTACTTTCAATACTGTTACTTGAAAATAATGATAACAGTAATTTGGTTTAGAAGTTCGGCTATTTTTTATTTAAAAGACGAAATAAATAATCCACGAAACAAGACATCTTTTATGAAATCTTATAAGAATGAAATGTTTTAAGAGATTTATAATATAATTAATTTTCCAACGTCATTGATACCATTCATTTCCTTTTTCAATTTAAATATACAGGGTGTCTTAGAATTAGTGTAAGAACTGGAAATGAGGGGTAGTTGAGACGATTCTGGACCATAGTTTCCTTTGGAGACAAAAAAAAAATATACATGTCAAAAATGTATCAGGTTCTAACTCCGTGCTCTTTGATAGAATTGGGGGCAAATTTTCATTGAAATCAAAACGAGAGATAAGTATTTGAAGCGATATTTGTTTCGAATCGATATTTTCAATACAGTTACTTGAAAATAATGATAATAGTAATTTAGTTTAGTAGTTTGGTTATTTTTTATTTAAATTTTGACGAAATAAATAATCCACGAAATAAGACATCTTTTAGGGGATCTTATAAGAAAGAAATGTTTTAAGAGGTTTTTGTCTGGGTCCATCTGATATTGCCGTAAAATGTATTATGCTTTAGGAAAACATCTTTCATAATTTAATCACCATGCAACATAGATAGATCAGACATTTTATTTTACAGAAATGTCAATACATTTAGTTCATCTGAGAATGGACAACAAATTTAAAATTGAAATTCGGAATTAATTTTAACATTCGAACAATTTCTCAATTACTTTAAACAGTTGTTTCAAATAATTATAAAATCACAGGTATAAAAATAATTATAAAATAAAATAACATGTTATTTGGAATAATATTTCAAATAATATCATTTTAAAAAGACTCAGAAATAATTATAAAGTTGATACATCGAAATAAATAGAAGTATCCTTAAAATCAACTCCTGATTCTGTGGTTGTCATAATTTCGATTAATTAATAATATGAAATATACTTTCAAGAATTAACGCAAACTTGTTACGAAAATCACATTCCCTTCGATGTGATGACTGACGAATATAATAAATTCATATAATTTAAATTCATAAAATTGGGATTTCAAAAAAGGACTACGGATTGCTTATCTACGTATTTATTTGACGTTATCACATCAGCAATCATGCATTTGCCGCTGCGTGGGCGTGTAAAAGTTCCTGGAAAGTTATTTTCGGAGCTCGTTTTGGAGAAGGAAACCGAAGATGATGGTTATGAAGGATTTATATATAATATTAAGAAAAAAGGAATTATTATCATCGTGCAAGAGAAGTGCCATGAGCTATGCCCCTATGGAGCATAGCTGTCTGTGAAGCAGGATGTTGCGCCCACCAATAATGTTATTTGTAAGCGGGGAACGTGTACGAAGACAATAAATAAGGCTAAACTTATAATATTTATAATTCTTGTACCATAGTGACGATATTATATAAATATGCCTGTGGTACAAAGTATAAGGGTTCAGAAAGGCACATAGAGTGATAAGAAGAGTAACTATACTACAGGTATTGATCTATTAACCTTGACTATAGTTATATTTTAAGTCAAGTCAATTCAATCAAGTAAATATTAGATGTGGACACATTAAAAGTTGGTGACGCCATTATTTTGTTTAAAATTGTGATCTCAGGTACTTTGTACTTTGTGTTCTTGTCGTTAAGTATGAATTTTAATATTTAATCTTGCATTTAAAAAAATTGGAACCAACATAGTTTTCAATGATATAATATACATAGATAAATTATACATATTATGTAATTTACTGATTTTAATAAAATGCAATGTATTTACGATAATTACAATATATATGGGGGAAGTATTCCTTAATGCAAGCATAATTACTGGGTTTCTTCTATTTTATTTAACCTTTATTTTAATCTTTAAAAGTAAGTATTTTATAAAAATAATTATTCATTAATATTCTGTTACAAAGTACTATCTTTTATATAACCACCATAATATTGGTAATAACAAAATAAAAATTCTCTAGTAATCCTTACAATAAAATTATATATATTTCATTTTAACGTTTTGCTTAGAATATTTGTGTTGTTATTACCAATATTATTCATTATTGGTATTATATAGATAAATGTATAGCTATTTACAATATATGTATAATAAGTGTATAATAAATATGTCATACACCAATATATACAAATTAATTATTTTATGCAGAAGAATATCAATATTCTTTTCCTATTCAGGCAGATGGTACTTGCTGGTATCATCTTTTGCTTAAAAATTACAATTTTGCTAACAAATTAATCTCAGTTTAGTAGTGCTATTTTTTAGCTTAAAATTGCAGTCTCAGTTTGCTGGCACCATCTTTTGCTTTAAAATGGCAATCTCAAAGAAACTAAAGATTTTCTGGTTATATATATTATATAATTACATCGTCGAGAATAATGGTAAAATTGTTTGCCAAAACCACATTTTCCCTTTCAACTCTCCTGCTATTTTTATTTCAATTTAATTAACCTTATTTATATGATAAATAAGAAAATCGTTAGTTTTACTGGGTAAGTTCAAAATTGAAGAAGGCTTTACGAAAA